GTTGGAAGTGACGTTTGTCACGGTGGGGTGTTCTGATCTTCTGTATCATACAGTCACTGGAAAAGATTGGGAACAGAAATGCATAACACAAATCCTTTAGCGTCAGCCCATTGCCTCAGAAACAGTTTTGATTAATATTTAAGTATATATAGGTATATATCTTCCATTTTGGTTAAAATTTAGGTACATATCTTCTGGTTTGGTTACTGTTTTGTTATATGTCTTCTGGTTTGATTAAAACTTAGCTACATACCTTCCAGTTTGGTTAATATTTAGGTATATATCTTTGGTTTCATTAATATTTTGATAAATATTTTCTGGTTTCGTTACTATTTTGGTATATATCTCCTGGTTTGATTAAAATTTGGGTACATATCTTCCAGTTTGGTTAATATTTAGGTGTACATCTTCTGGTTTCATTAATCTTTGGTAAATTTCTTCTGGTTTGGTTAATATTTTGGTATATAGCTTCTGGTTTAGTTACTATTAAGTACATATCTTCCAGTTTGGTATATATTTTCCAGGTTGCTTAATATGTAGGTATGTAGTCTGGTTTGGTTAACATTTTGCTAGATACCTTCTGACTTGACTAACATTTTGCTGTATATTTTCCTCCTTGGTACACTTGAATATTTTTCCTTATGATGGACAGTTTTGCAGAGTCAGGCCTGATGCTGCGATTTCTCTCATGAGTAGATCTCAGTATCTCTCACCAACCTTTGCAAACTAAAGTTATTTCTAATTTTGCCCTCATATGATTCTTGTATTTCCTTCATTTTGACTGACTAGGTTTCCAACCACAGGTGTGGTTAGTTGGTGTTGCTGGTTATTTCTTTCCTTAAACCACGATTTAGGAACATGAAGTGATGTACTATGGAGTGGGACTTGGGTGAGAAATTCTGTGTGAATTCAGTATTGCCCTCGTTAGCTAAATACCTTGAGTTCAGATCTTGCTTCCTCTTGCTGTGTCTCTCTGCCATGGTTTCTTCCTAGGCAGCTGGCTAACTCCCGTGAAACAGTTAGGGTTGAGCCTGGCACATCAAACCCAGCATTGTTAAATGAGGGAGGAGAGCGCACAGAGAACACGTGGGCGAACCAGTCGATTTCGTGACTCATTGGCTATCAGAGAGGCCTTGCAAGTGTGGCCAAGTTTTCAGGCCTCCAGGAAGGACTATTTGGGTGGTGGAGAAGGCCTCTGGCTTTCACTGTGCTGAAGTAGACGGCAGGAAATGGGCTCCAGCTGGTGCCTGAGGATTTCAGGGCGAAGACCAAGAAAGGGCAGCGTGGATTTGGGAATGAAAATTGCTCTCTTGGCATCAAGGAGATGTGCTGTAAGGGCAGGGCTCAGAACCCTGAGCACAGGAGGAAAGGGGGAGGGCAGCGAGGAAGACAGAGCCCGGGAGCAGAGGAGCCCTGAAGACAGAGAAGACTTCATCGCAGAGGCGTGGGTAGTGATGACGATTGTATAGGAGAGGGCACAGCTGGCAGTGCCAAGCGGCAGAGGCTTCAGGGTGACTGGGAGAGGACAGCCTCTACCTCTAGTTAAGACAAGCTACAAAGTGGGAACGCTCTAGGAGTTTTCTGTGACTACCCTTCCATTAATTTTCCTGTTAGCTTAAATGTTCTTAATTGTAATCACAGTCTGCCCTGGTGATTTTCAAACAGCCTCGATGTCTTCACTCTGCAGGGCGCTGTGCTCTAAGGCAGTTTGTGGAGCCGTCCACCCAGTTTCTTGCTTGCTCCAGATCATTGTTTCTCGTTCATTATCGTCTTGAGCATAGTTGTTGAAGCATTTGGTTCATGTAACCATTAAAAATGCATGAACAAAATGCTGTAAAATAAACAAGGCTGCAATGTTTTATGCAATAACCACTTGCCAAGTCTTCCCTTTGAAACTGGAGCCATTTTTATGTCATTGGAGTGTAGTAGAATGATCTATAAACAAGATTTCTGTTGGGTTTACATATTAAAACAGATGAAATCATTTTAAATAAAATGTTAAAAACATTTACTTCTAGCTCAGACGAAGCTTCATCCAAAAACATTTGAAAAAAATAACCATGCACCCAAAATTCTAAAAAGGAAGGCAACAGAAGGAAGGAAACCAAGTGTTGATCCCCAATTCATTTGCTACCTGAACCTGAAAGAATATTTTTAAGATCTAAATCCTCACTCACAGACATTAATCATTTCTTTTATTCCACTTTGTGCAAGCCATCATTTCCCTGTGTTTGTATTTGGGGCTCAGCTTATGAGCACCCATTTTTCACCTTCTAGCTTTCTCTGTAACTCTTAACTGGAATGGACTACCAGGCCTCTCGGAACTTGCTCCTTGCTCTTAGCAATTCCTGTTCCTTTCAGTAATCAGTTTGGTTTTAAACTGAATGACGTATAACTTCTCTGTTGTCCTGCACTACCTGTCTTTGCATCAAATTATTCAGAAATAGAAAATGATTTTTCTCTTAAAATGTGTAGCTAGGTGAATTTTAAATCTTGACACTAGATTTAACTGGGCTCCCCTTCCATTCTCTGTTATTTCCTGGGTTTGCTGCACAGCCCTGAGCCCAGATGGATTCTTTGTAGGCACTGTTTGACAAGGATTTGGAGGAGGGAGGGGGAGAGCCTTTTTTCCTCTTTGCCTACAGCTGCTCTCAACCTGGCTCATCACGATGGAAAGGAAATGAATAAAGATGAGTTATCTGCATTGAAAATCAGCCACAGAGCAGAAGCAGTTCACACTCCTTAACCCATCTGTGAATTTAGCAAGGAAAAGGAAACATTGCCACCATCAATTTATTTGTATATTAATATTGACAGGGTTATCTTTTCAATCTTGTACCTTTGAACATTTGGGGCATTTGTGAAAAGCCATATGGCTTTCTGGGTTGTTCACCTCACATCCTGTGCATCGGAAGCCATTCACACTGCACCTTTTGGCACAATCCACACTGAGCACTGAACAGAGCCGTGAAAACGCCATAGACACAACTGATGAAAAGTAGCTGTTAAGGAAACGCTGGAGGTTTGAATTGGCACTTTTTGGATCAGCCTTCAATTGGATGGCACAGCCTGTGCTTGATTTTAAGTTGCAATTGTTTCCGTATTTTGTGTATTATATGTCCCCGGTGATTGATTTCTATCCTCAAGACCTAGATATCTTAAGTGCTTGAAACAATTTAAGCATTGAAGCATATGGAAAGAGAAGTTTGAATTTGGCATTTGAATTTGAATTAGGGAAAGAAAGGGACAAAGCTCACAAGAAAGGTTGTTCTGTCTTATGGTATGCATTTCCTATTTCTCTACAAGGAGAATGAGCATATAAGTCTGAAAGGCAAATTGTAGCTAAGATTATCTACTGTCACCTGAGATGCTGGTTTATGAGCACATGAACTCTGACCATGGTCAGCTTCTGTCCCTGATGGTCAGGAAGACTTCTGTGCTGTGTTCTTCACGGACCCACACTGCTTCTAGCTGTGCTCCATGTTCACAGCTACCTGGATTCAAATCCCGGCAACATCACGTCTTACTGTGTGTCCATGGTCAAGTGGGTCAGCATTTCCCACAGGCTCACAGTCTGCATGTCCAGCTGCTGATCTCACAAAGCTGCTGCTGTCAGTGAATGGCAGCATGGTACTATTTGATACAAAAAGATTGACATTGTATGGTATATGCCACTGGCGTGTCTCAGTGCTTCATTTCCTGGAGAAGCATTGAGGCGCTGCAGCCTGCCCTTCAGTTGTTTAGCTTCCAGAAATGAACTTTCTGGGTTTGAGCATTAGCTCTCAAACATTCGTTTTTGTGTCCTTGGAAATGCCTTATCTAGACTACAGGGGCATCAAATTTATAATCCACAGACTTACGCTGAGAGATTACTGATACAACTTCTTCAAGCTCTTATACTTAGTACTTACTAGACATGTGAAAAGTTCTCTTCACTCTTATTTGCTGACCTTATAGGGTTGTTGGCAGGCAATACTGATATCTGTGATTTCTGAACATGAACTGAAGTACTATTCTGTGTGTGAAAGTACATGTATGTGAAGATACATATGCATGTGTATGTGCACATGTACGGGAGGCCAAAGGTCAGCATCAGGTGAGTTCCTTAGGTGTTGTCTACCTCCATTGGGCCAAGGTGTCTCTTTAGCTCAGCACCCACCAGGTAGACTAGGCTGGCTGACCAGCAAGCCCTGGGTATCTGCTGTCTTCTCAGTGCTGGGATTCTAAACATATACCACCATGTTCAGATTTTTCTCATGCATTCTGGAGATCAAACTCAGTTCCTCATGCTTGTGCGGCAAACTTGGTATCATGACTGTGAGTTGTTGTCTTTCCTTACTGAAAACAAGTTGTAGAAGACCATCTGTAACATGAAGGGCCTGCTTGTTTGTGTTTCTGTCCTGCCCGGCCCCCCATATGTTTAGTTCCAGAGAAAAATCACACTGAGATCTCTATAAGTTATAAAACTGATTGGGCCATTAGGTCTAGCCTCTTACTGGCTAACTCTCACATCTTGATTAACCCTTTTTTCTGATCTATGTTAGCCATGTGGCTCAGTACCTTTTTCAGTGGGGCAGCTCACATCCTGCTGCTTCAGTGATCTGGGCAGGAGTGGGAGTAATCAGCTTCCTCTTCCCCGGAAGTCTCCTACTCTTTGCATCATTTCCACTTCCTCTCTGGTTTTCCCGCCTACACTTCCTGTCTCTGGCCAATCAGCATTTATTTAAAACATGATTGACAGAATACAAACAATTCTCCCGCACCACCATCTTACCAAGAAAAATATGGAAGGCACAAAGGGAACTGAGTGCTTCTGGTTACGCACATCTAACAGCATCATGGCCATAGATTGCTCTGCGAAGGACTCGCCATGATGATGCCCTTACCTGTTGCTCTGATCCAAGATAACACAGAATCCTCTTCTCCCTATTGCCTGCATAGTGAAGCTGAGGAGAGGAGTGGCCTGATAATTATGAGCACAAGAAAACTAGAGGCCATACCTGAAATCAGAAGTAGATGTAATTACCAGTTCCCACGGCCAGTATTCAGAGTCTGGATCCTCTGAAGCATTCCTCCATACTTGTTGTCTAACTTCTAGGAGCAGAGAAGTGGACTAAACCCCTAGACTGCAGAGTACAGTGGTCTTCATGAGAGAGGGAAGGTTTCAAAACTGGACAGAAGGCAGCGGTGTGAATTGTGCGTCTCAACGAAGAATCTGTTAAAAAAAAAAGTGACAGTAAAGCGAGCTCTGTCCTTGCAGCTGACCTGGAATGGAAGTTTAATAGACAAGATTAGAATTCACCTCAAGTCAGAGAGTGTGTTGTCTAAGGAAATGTTTTTTGTGTACTTAGAAATGAGATTTTCCTTCCATAGGGCAGAGAAGTGGGGTGTTTCCCTGTAGGAAACGTAGAGTTCTTTTTCTAGAAGAGACAGATACAGGCAATCAGGCAGAATCCCAAACCAGGATACCTTGGCTCTGGCGTGGCCTATTCCCCCTGGAGGTGGCTTCTGAGTGGGCTTTGTGCATGTTGGGATGTTGTGGATGCTGTGAGTGGACAGAGTCCAGCAAGAGCTGCCCCACACAGAATCGATGGTGTGATCACCAAAATTGGTAAAAATGAATGGGTGTAAAGCTGAATGCCTGAATTGAAGCGTAGGCATTCTGTATATAATTTACAACATTTATAGAGAAAACCAACTGGTTTGTGTTCCTGAAATGCAAGGTGTACTGCTCAGAACAGTGCATGTCTCCATAACACCAGAGAAAAGTGAGATATAACTGTGTTTTGATACCAGGTCACAGCACAAGCCTGTCCACAATAGGTTGATCCTTAAATTGGCTGTGGAGTGAAGACACCAGAATCCTTAAGTAACCAACCTCTTCCTTACTCTAACGGAACATCCTTGTTAATGTACCCTTGACTTCCTCATGCCAGATGGCTCAGTAGGTAAAGATGCTTGCTGCCACACTTGACCTGAGTTTGCTCTCTGGACACCACAGAGTAGAAGGAAAGAACCAACTCCAGAAGGCTGTCCTCTTACCTCCACATCCACATCATGGTGAGCATACACAGAAACACATGAATAATAAATAAATACACGAAAAATAAAAAATAAGTCCTTTGACATTTTAAAAACATTGAAGACTTTTAAAATAAAACTCAATGAATCAAAATTTACTTTCAATTGTTATTATTATTATTATTATTATTATTAGTGTGTGTGTGTGTGTGTGTGTGTGTGTAGTTCAGTGACAACTTGACAGATGTCAAACAGTTCTTTCTTTCTACCATGTGGGTCCTGGGAATCAAACTGAAGGCCTTACTTTGTTAAGCCACTCACTGGTCCATAAATGGTTTTTAAATCTAAGGTACAGTTTCAAAATAAAATAATGTGAAATACTGAAACAGACAGAAGGAAATGGATACTAACAAATTCTTCTTAGCATTCAGCACATGGAATAAACATAATAAATAAAATATTAGTTTTTCCTTCAGCACTTGAGTCAATAATTTGTATCAACACTTTGTAAAATGGCATATAAACATGAAATGTAAGTACATGTTTTGTATAACACTAATGTAATAAAATCTTCAAAGAAGTCAAGATAGCAGATTCTGCTTTCCCTAAGCTTGATGCTTAGAAAACATTTACTATCTTCTTGATATGCCACGTGTTTGTTGCTTTCTAAACCTATAGAAGGGAGGTGCAAATAGGAGAACAGTTACTGCCTGTGGTTGGCTGGTTACCTTGGCATGGACGGTCTGGAAAAACCCTTAGGAGAGGACTGTACTCCATGGAATACGGTGATTCTGTCTCCTTTCAGCTGAGCATCCTCTCAAAGAAACAAACACATTATCTTGAGTTTCCACAAAGCTTTGTTTTGTAGAGTGCTTGCTGCAGTCTTCAGTCGGCGTCACATGTCCAATCAAGTACCATGTTTTTATTTATTGGCTCTTTCGTTTAAGATGGTTCAGAGATGCTGTAGTCTCTTTAAGCAATACATTTTTTCTAAGAGTATTTTATTTACATTCAAGTATACTTTCCCATTTATTTATATTAAATATTTCTTTAGTATTTCTAGTTATCATTTAGGCTTTGCGTCGAAAGGAGGTGGTTTGATTGTTTAGTGATAAGTGTGAATTCTTTCCCTCGCACCAGGGTGTTGTGACAGCGTAGGAAGACTGTCTGAAAGTGGGAGAGACAGGTGGTAGATCTGACTGGCCAGTTAAGACTGGGGAGACACTGCATGAAGACACCCGTTTGAGGGGCAAATGGAAAGAATGAGTGAAAGCAAATTTCTGTGCCTTAGGTGAAGGGAATGGAGGAACCAAGGACACCAGGGCTTTCTTCAGGGCTGTGACCCAGCAGGGCAGCTGCTGGAGTCAGAGACCAGTATGACCGAGTGATGTCTGGGACATACCGTGACAGTCAACAAAAGAGATGAGAAAATGAGCAAGCCAGTTCTAAGGAAGTGAGGTTTATCTTGGCTCACAGCTTTACTGCTTAACCCTGAGCTTAATTGGTCCATTCCTTCGGGACCCAAGGTCAACTGGAAGATCACCATGAGACTAATGGTGGAGTAGAGCTGCTCACCACGTGGCGTCCGGGAAACCAAGGCCAAGTAGTGACATCTAGTTATGAACTCTCAGTGGACACCTACTGATGAGGGAAAAGCCCTTCTGATCCCTTGGCTGCCCAAATGTTTATCAGCTCGCTACCAATCCTTCAACACAACAACACCAAAGGAAATTTCATATTGAAACCATAACAGTTTCCTATCTGCAGCTTTGCTACCAAATTGAGAAAAATTACAGCAACAATGATTATATCTGCATCAAGAATTATTATAATCATGAAATATATCTAAAGTACTTAGAATGTTGTCAAACACACGCTAAATGATCAGTAAACTTTAGCTCTCATTATTAGTGGTGTTATTGTTATTATAGGTCTTTTTGGAGAAGGAACACACAATTAGAATAGATAGTCTCAGCTTTAATGTGGAACTCTGCTGTCATTATCCCTCTCTCTTAGGGCACCTGTGATCTCCAAATTCACAAGTGCATGAAGCCTGAATTTAGGATACTTACAGAGTTTTGTCTCAGTTACCATCTCTATCGATATTCAGAAGTGACATGCAGTGATTGACCTCAACATGATTTCAAGTTGAGGAGCTGGGGTCCAAGGAAAAATACCTCTGAAATTGCTTTCAATTATTTTCTAAATTATTTTAATGGAAACATTATAATTATGTCCATTTAGGGATTTGTGTGTGATTCATTTGTGTGAGCCTAACTCACTCACTGTATACATACACACCTGTAATTTCTCCAGTTATTTTGAAATGCACAGTATGCTGCTATTGACTGTAGTTGTCCTATGTGTAACATATCTAAATGTTCCCTTTGTCTAAGGGAAAGTCTGTGCCCTTTGCATTTCTCAACTCACCTTTAGTAATATTCTGAAATACTGATAAAGGAGAGACTCCACATGAGAAAAAAATGCATGTATGTAGGCTTATCTACTTTTAGTGCACAGATGGAGTACCATTACAGCACTGATGTAAGGAGACGGCCAAAAAAGGGATGGGAGAGCCAAACGCACAGGGGTGAGTGTTGCGTGTACTGCTTGCTGGCTGTGGGGTGGCATCATATTTATATTGTCTAAATCTTAGGTTAATCATTTAGAAATTATGAAGTGAGTTAGTGTCCACATCCAGGAGGAAGCCTTTGATTTCTGGAAGTGACAGATAGTGTAACTTTGGGAACAAACTGTATCTAGTAATAGAATTGGTGAATAGAATAGAATATAGCCATACGATGTTCAAGATCTTAATAAATTCTTTCTTTCTTGTGATTTCTTGATGTAAAAGAAATCACAGCCGCCTGATACTCAAAACTACAAGAAAGTCTTAATGCTGTGCAATGGAACTAATAATTATAATAAGTGGTGTTTACATAATACACCTTGGACTCTGTAAATCCTGAACATATTGAGATTAAAACCGTACAGCGTTCCTCAGAGAGAGCTATCATCACTACTCCTCTTTACACACGAGCCAGTCAGGACAAAATAACACAAAGAAACGTCCTTGTAGCAAGTTATCAGGTCTACAATCAGAGGAAGAAACTGGGGGATTTGTGGGCAGATCAGGAGTCAGGTAAGTGAAGATCTCCCGCCAAACTCTGTGATTTCCTGGGCAAGTATAGCTAGACTTAGCTGTACTGTGCTAATTGAAAAGCACTTATTATATTATTGGTATAACAGGATCTGACCCAAAATGCGAATGGAAGCCATCGTACCCAGTCAGATACCAAGACTGGCTGCATCCCATTCTTCTCACCCCACATCCAATTGCAGAGCAGTTCTGCCTCTCTCTTCTCTACTGCCTGCCTCTATTGAACACAAACTGTGCCACACTGAAGGAATCCAAGATAAATTTGTAAAACATCATGTCAGGCCCTTTCTAGTCTCAGTATCCCCTGGTGATCCATGGCTGGGGTCTAGGAATATAGAGCAGCACAGAGAAGAAGCAGACACCAACTTGCCACGGATACGTGTTGAGCGAAGCAGATATTTTTGTTTAAAAGACAGACAGCTGAGAAACAGTTATTTGATCCCTGCTGCTCAGGGGACAGTAGGGAAAGAAAGGTATTTTTGTAATCGCTCTTCAGCGTTCCCTATGCAGCTTGGTTCATACAGTCACAACAAAAACCCACGCTCTAATAATACATTGCAGCCGACCACAGCAACGTTACAAGTGTTATGCACAGTTGTGACTAGCATTCAGCTTCCTTTTGATTGCTTGCAGGCCTGTGACATTTAGATTGCTGCACAGTTCTTCCAACCTCAGACAACTCAGAGTCAGCAGCACACATCTGATAGCCAAGCGCCAACGTAGAAACTGTAAGCTCTTGGTATCATTTGCCTGTATTTCATCACGTTTGCAGCTATGGAGCGAAAGAGCACTTGATTACGAATCTAAAGACAGAGGGTATAGACTAAATTTAACCTTGCTGCCAATTTGCTGTGACCGTGAGAGTATCACTTAAACTCTGCAAGTCCTTATTCTTTCTCTTTTGTTTTGAGGAAGAGGCCCCATGTGTGCCCAGGCAGGCCACATCCTCACTCGAGAGTCCAGTCTTTACTCAGATACCTCACAACCCTTCCTCGGTCCAGAGCTCTGGCGTTCCACATGTACCACCAAGCCTGGCTCTCAAGTCCCGCTCTGTGGAAGAAGAATGAGTTTTCTGTTGCCAGGACCCCTTCCGCCCTCAGTGCCATCAGTGAGTTCTGCTTACTAATGCTCCCATGAATCTAGTGCTCCCAGGGGTGGGGGAGTGTGGTCGCGATCCTCGCCTCTGCATTCAAGCCTTGTACAACTTTTCTGAAAGGGGACCAAGGCTGTTTGCTTGGGTGTGACTAGTACAAGTGCAGATGGATCTGCTGTATCACATGTATGAAGCAATCTTTATATTGTTAACACTATCAGAGTTTGTCTTTCACGGCATTATCAGAAATATAAACACAATTTTTAAATCTCACCTAAGTAGTCTTTTGCTAAATTTTATTGGATTTGCAGCTAGCTTAAAAATGGTTATTTGTGCCGTGGTCAGCAAATAGATACTTTTTAAATAAGCTAACATGATGTGAGAAAACTGTTTTCAGTGTTTCTCCCTTCTTATATCTGTGGACGCCCTTCACCATTCTCTACACTAAGCTGCACAAAATGACTGTCACTGGTGGCCTGTTTGCCAAATGCTTGTTTTCCCAGTACTGGCAGCCTTGTGTATAGAAGGGCTCAGTAGACAACTTTATGAAATGCATATCTGGACTTCTATATGTTTTTCCACAACAGTCTAACAAGTCCTTGCAGTCATATCTTGAAGCAGGAAGTGTATTTGGTAGCTCTAGCCTGCTGTCCTTACAGACTCTGTGTGTCTTCTGTGAAAGACCAAATACCGTCCCAGCGGAGCTGACCTAGTTGAACATAAATACACCATTGAGGAGCAGCTGACTTCTGAATTAATAAAAGTTATAAATAAGTTGGATGGCCTTGTGAATAGGCTGAACTTGAAGTGCCTTTTAATTAATTATTCTGAAAGCAGTGCCTATAGCTGCCATGTATGCAGAGATCTATGGAATAAACTAATTTGTAGAAGCTGTTAGATTATCCACACTTTTTAAGACTAGAAAAATCTAACCAACCTATAATGGAATTAAGGAAGAGAAAGAAATGAAAAACATTCTAATGAAAAGAAAAATGATGTCCACGTGCCAGCGGTGTGGTCACACTCATGGGAACCTAAAGACTCCATTAAAAATCAGTTAGAACTGAAAGTCAAAGTAGTAAAGTCGCGTGTTCCAAAACCAACATACAGAAATCACCAGTGTTTCTGTATACAAGTAACAAGCTGTCTGAAAGGGAAGAAAACAATCTTTTATTTGCATACTAAAAACTATAAAACACCAATGAAAGAATTTTTCAAAAAACACAAATGGCAAGGCAGTACATGTTCATGGACTAGAATTAACATTGTGAAAATGGCCAACTTGCCTGTAGTGACCAGCAGATTCAGTGCGGGCCCAGCAAAAATTCCAGTGTCCTTTTTATAGAAACGAGAGGGGGAAATCAATATATCAGTTCTGAAATGCACATGAAATGCCTCCTCAAAGACCCCAGATAGGGAAAACTAATCCTGAACAAAAATAACAAAGCTGTGGGTAGCACATGTACCCAAAATACATTCTAAGTGATAGCACATATGTAACAATAATAATTACTGTTGACAGGAAGGCTCTGCGACTAAGTCTGGGCAGTATTGGGGGGATACAATGCCAAAAGAATGGGCAACGGAAACAAAGATAGACAAGGAGATTGTACGACCTTAAAAAGACGCTGCGTGATAAGGGAAATGATGCACAACAAAAAGAGACAGCCCAGGGAATATGGAAGAAAGTATTTGCAACCAACACAACTGATCAGCATCCAAAATCTATAAAGAGCTCAAGCAGTCCAGTAGCAGGAGAGAAAAAGTACCCCAAACACAAAAAGAGCTAGACCAGACAATACTCTAAATAAGATCTGTAGACGGTCAGTAGGCCATGGAAGAAAGGCATCCAGCGTCATGCTGCCAGCTAATGAGGTTGTTGTAAAGATGGAACATGAGTGCTGAAAAATTTGGGCAAAGAGAACCCTTGTTCCTGTTGACAAAAGTCTAAATATGGAAGATCCTTATAAAACAGAACTCTGAAACAAACCAGTGGTCCTGCTTCTGAGCCTTCATCTACAGGAACTGAAATCAATATGCCAAAGGGACACCCGCACTTCCATGTTCATTGCCACACAATTCACATTTTCCAAGGTAGGGAATCCACCTCAGTGCTCATCAGCTGATGTTTGGGTAAGGAATCTGTACCACATTTACATGGAGGAATACTGTTTAGCCTTAAAGAGGAGATGTTGTCATTGTGTCGATGTGAATGAATCTGAGAGACATGGCACTAAGGGGAATAAGTCAAATGCAGAGAGAAAAACATGGCATGATTTAACTTCTATGACAAATCTGATAAAATTGACCTTGTGGAAATAGAGAATTGAACAGTGGCTATCAGAGGCTTAGGGGTATGTGTAGGGGGGGGTGTGAAATGGGAAGTTTCAGAAGGACAGGAGGAAATAAGTTAGTTCTGGGGTGGGTTGGACAATGGGGTGACTGCAGTTGACAAGTCGGCAATGATGTAGATATTGCAGTGTCCCCCAAAGTAAATTTCCAATGTCCTGCCATAAAAATAAGTAAATGGATGATGGGGTATGTTCATTAGATTGGTTTACTCATCCCTCATATAGAACATTATATACAGTATGTTGTTTACAATAGTGGCTTTTCAAGCAGAATATCAGTAAAACAATTTTGTATACTAAAGGTTAATAATTTCTCCAGTTGAAAATCCATTAAAAAAAAAAGGTAAATCCTATCGTGAGATCATGCACAGGTTCTTACATTTTTCTTAGGATGCTGAACTAGCCCAGAAGTGGAGTGCTGGGGCCCAATGCCATCTAAGTAATTTCGCATCTATGCTTTTTATTCATAAGGTCTGAATACGGGTGGATGTTGTTACAAATGCATCTCCATTTCCGTTCTGTTACTCGTGAAGTGTATGCTGTGATCCTCTGGCCAGTCCCCGCAGTGCTCTCGATCTGTCTGAATTGATCACTGTTCCAGGACAGAGCTGGGCAGCGTTTGCCCCAGTGCCTGCTGGCGAGCTCCTTTGGAGTCAGCCACCAGTGGAAGCAGAGCTGGGAAGGAACGCCTGGGCCTCGCTGCATTTGATAATGTTACCCAGAAACCAGGAATCTGCTTCAGTTCTTGCTCACCTAAGCTGAATTTTGAGAAGTAACTATACAGGATGAGACTGAGAATTATAATTGGGTCTTCTGATTTTTTTTTTATTTTAAATCCTTCCTTAAAGGTCACTGGATACAAAGACAGTGTGCATTTATTGAAGGGGAAGCTACAAAGCTGCCCCATGAGCTGTCTGGGCTTGTTTCTGCAATCTTATACCCTCTGTTGTCGCCCAGTAACAGGCAAAATGAAACGTAATCTATCAATTTCTTCTCTGTCTTTTCAAGGTTTCCTTCAAGGACTTATTTCCAAATGATGACAACTATTTCTGATTTAGAAAAAAAAAGACAAGGGCCCCATGTTTTCCTAATTACTATATGTCTTTTCTCTACGCACAACAGCGAGTATCAGAAAAGCTTTTCAAGTCCAGTTCCCCTCGTAGTGGACGCGAGCCCAGAATTCCACTTCTTTGCTTCCTCCCTTGGAAGGTTCATTTTTACGTACATTTTGCTACATTCATACTCAAAGTCCTGCCAACCAGTGGCCTATCCTGTAGACAGGGCCAGTCCTGCCAGCCAATGGCCTATCCTGTAGACAGGGCCAGTCCTGCCAACCAGTGGCCTATCCTGTAGACAGGGCCAGTCTTGCCAGCCAATGGCCTATCCTGTAGACAGGGCCAGTCCTGCCAGCCAATGGCCTATCCTGTAGACAGGGCCAGAGTCCTGCCAGCCAGTGGTGTATCCTGTAGACAGGACCAGGGCTCCAACATGAATCTTGACTCTGTGCCATGTTTCTTGATTGACCTATTTTTTAGGTTATTCATTAGTTCTTACTTTAGTATTTCAGTCCGGGCCCAGCAGACATTGTAACACCGACCATGGACGATGATGGTGTCAGACCTTCTGATGCACCAAGAGGCCGCCAATGTGGTCGGAAGCAGACTTCCTGGGGGCCGGTCCCACACCCGCCACTTGGTTGCTGTGCTCTTTACTTAAGCCTCTCCTCTAAAACACTGGAGAAAGAACAGTTTCAACCCCCCAAAAGCTTGTTTTATAGAAAGTCGCTGACTGGTTCACATTTTACAAGATTAGAGAAAGCACCTAACTCAACTCCCGACTGTAATGCATTCTTATTTTTATAAAATAATGATCCATGCTGGACACAGCAGCTCCAGCCTATGGTCCCACACCCAGGAGACCGAGGTAGGAGAATTGCTGTGAATCTAAGCCACTATGGACTATACAGTCCATATATATGCCATTTTTAAAAATTAAGAAAAAAAGCTAATAAATGTAATGTAGGCTAAAAGCAAATTACATACATATGTATGGTTATGTTGAATAAGTCAACTTTTATAAAATGATGAGAACTGTATCCAGCTATTGTTTTAATGTAAATTCAGGCACACACCACAGTCACTGGGTGCCTTGCATATATATAGTAAGGAACTCAAATGTAAACAATGTTTAAACTTTGTAATATTTTGCTTTTCTTGTGAGACCTGATGCTCTTCACATTATTTGTTTTATCATCTTAAAGATCAGATTGTACCTTGTGTATTATGAATTTACTAAAAAATTGAACAGAAAGTATTCAGAGCATACCAAATATGAATTAGCACTTGTTACTTTTTTTATTATATTTATAAAACTTGATTTCCTGCTTCCACTATAACTTCTAAGTTCCTTTAAACTTTAAAAAACCCTTTCTTACTTAAAGCTTTGTTTTCCCCCTTCTGGGGAGGGAGAGAAGAAGGATATTACTTCCAGTTTATAACCGCATATTAAAGCTGTGTGAAGCCGGGGCAAAGGGAGCATCCAGAGTTGTGAAGCGAGTCCAGGACAGCAGCCAGTCCGGACGCCCCTTCCCTGCTCGGGGGCCAGTTGGAGCATCTGTGAGCTTCCTCACAGGCAGTTCCAGGAGCTGAATAAACCACCAGCCCTGCATGTCTGCCACAGCTACTTATTGTGGCCCTGTTCTCCATTCATCTTGTGGACAGTAAATCCGTCCATTTAAAGACAAGAAGAATTCAGCGTTTGGCTGTGGTCTGCTGCACACATGGCCACTTTGCTTACACTGCCTTTGAACAGAACACAGTCAAATCTATTGTACAGCTCGCCGGCATGATATTGCTTTGATAGACACCGAGTGACCTAATATACACACTCCAGTGTACTCTAATCTGTGGTCTCCCAGCTCCCACTCGGCAGGAATTCTGAGATGTTGATGGAACCCCATGATTTAACAGAGCAGCCAGGCTGCCCTTTGACCCCTCACACTGGTTCTGACAGCTGCCTGCCATGTGTAGGGAAAACCTCACAGGCTGAAACCCCGCCACAGAGGAAAGGGCCCTGGATAAACATATGAGCGTGAGCATGCTGCTGCTTTAGAATTAGATTGTTTTTATAAACTAAATTTGGGGACATTTAATAGCTAACCTTCCCTAGTAAAAAGTAAGATAAGCCAACCTTGGTGGTGCATGCCAGTCACCCCAGCCATTAAGAATATCTGAGTGCTAGGCCAGCCTGAGCTATAGAGAAAGATCCTGCTTCTCCAAAATAAAATAAAATAAAATAGAAAGTAATCAAATAAAACAGAATAACACACATGGTAAGACTGAACTTACCTGATCATTTTAGTTACCAGTCTTTGTCTTCTGGATTAGACCAGTTTCCCTATGCCTGGGGACTGAGTTCTCAAGTGATGCTTCAGAGATGTGCAGCAGCATCTCCTGGGTTGCTTAGGAAACTCCAGTCGTGTCTAAGCTGTCAATTTAATCCACACTGCTTTTTACTTTTATCAGAATATTCTTCAGGTAGAAAAGAATGGAAGCTTTAGGCATGACTATCGTCCTAAATATAAAGTTGGTTAAGGGAGAAAAAAAAAAATCCCTCTCCGGCCCAAATAGCATTGTGCTTTCTAATTCATTCTTTTCACATACAGTGCGGCATGTTATCATGGCTAATGTTCTCCCGCCGAGCTGCCGGCGTCTTTTGTGGAGCTGTCAGGGTATTAAATTGATGCACCTTCCACATTTGGATAGAGGTCATTATCCTGTCGCCTGGTTGCATTGCCTCTGCTGTGCAGGTTAACTGCTTGAGGTCTTTCATCTAGATAAATGTTTTGCCAGCACTTTTGCTGCGTGATGACATGAGCCTGCCTTGGAGGTCGAATAGTGACGCTGGGATAAGTTGCTCCCTGTGTGTTCACAGAGCCGGAAAGGGCTGGAGCCCAAACTTCATAATAGGCCTAAAAATAAGGGCAAATGCTCTCACTTCAGTAGAAGTTTCTAGATTTGGGTCTCTCCCTCTCCCTCTCCCTCTCCCTCTCCCTCTCTCTCTCTCTCTCTCTCTCTCTCTCTCTCTCTCTCTCTCTCTCTCTCTCTCTCTTAAAAAAAAGTTTCTTTTCCCTTTGGGAGGCTAGGAGTGGCAGGGTCATATGTATCCCAGGCTAGCCTCATACTCTTATATAGCTGAGGCTAACTTTGAATTCCTGCACCCTACTCCTGAGTTCTGGGTTTACAGGTGCACACCACCACACCTTGTTTGGAAAGAAAACTTCTACTTTTAGGTGTTTTCTTTTAATTTGAGTATTATGAATGACCTCACTAAGTTTATCAAAATCTCCCCTTCAGAAATCAGTGTGTTTATCTAATCAGTAGTTTAATGTGGCACGGTTAGTGTCTGGGCTTCGTAGTATTGCTGTCTGGGGAGCAACTTGGAGGCCATGGCACTCGCTGCTTTCAGACCGCTTTCCACATTGAAAGATGGATTTTACATAAAAGGATTCAACTGAATCCTTTCCCCTCAGTGACAGTTGATTGATTAATTTTAAAAATATTTTCAGTTGCTTGTACTGGATTATTTCTGGAGCATAATATACCAGATAAAGAGGAGATAATTTTAAGTGAACTTATTTAACATGTAAGTTTATGGCAAAATTATTTTGAATTCTCAATTTTCGGTTCAGTTTTTAGATAATTTTCTCATTGCTGCAGACACCATGGCCATGTTTACCATTGGTATGGCCATGTGACCAGAAAGATGCTTTTATGAGTCTATTTAAGATTTTTAATCTTACTGGATGTTCCAGAATAAACGCTTGTCTCTCTTAACATTTAAATAAACATCTACTACCCCCAAGGAATTGAACCCCATGACATTGCATGTTTGAAGCTCACCAGTGTCATGTCAGTGTTTGGCCCCCATGCCTCGTCAGTCGCAGCTTCTGTAATGCAGATGCTCCTTGTCAACAGTTGACCGGATTTCCACTTATGACTGAAGATCACCTGTGTGTGATCCTCAAGGTTTTAGCATAAAACAGATTGTAAATCCTGCTTAGCCAGTGCTGACTTGTGGAACTTGGAGCTGAGGGCCTCAGTGGACGACAGCTCTGTCCGTTTGCACAGTATCTGTTAGTTTGTGCAGGAACCGGCCTGAGTGGGCAGCGATCTTCCCTCTCCTGGTGGAGTTTCTGAGCCCTTTCACATTTCTGGAACTATGTAATCATCAACACATTGCTCAACCTAGCAAGCTCAGCCTTTTCCATGACCTCCGACCTCCATCTTCTTAACCTGACAGTAAGAAGAAACCGAGGCCTGCCAGTCTGCTGTCCGAATGTTGCCTCACACTCCAGTTTCCTCTCCTCTTGCCTGGAGTTCCTTTTGTTTACTTCCTGTTCCCCTGGTTGTTCCTGTTTCCGATGACCCTATTCCTTGCCATCGTCCTCCCTTTCACTGCCAGGAGAAGCTTCTCTGCCTGGCATCCTGGGTGGGTTCCTACTTAGACGTAGTCTACTGGCCTTCATCTCCTGGATGCCTAGGGAATTCAGAGTCCTAAGGAACTGGCTGTGATTCATCTTTCCTACTAATTCCTGAAACTTAGTCTGGGCTCTGTTGAAGTACAGGCTTGCAACATTGGACATGCCTGCTCTCCCATTTCCCCCATGTCTGGAGAAACTCCCACTCCCTTGGGCTTATTCCTTTAAAAAGTCTTTTTTAAAGTTTCCATGAGAAGGTAACTTTTTCTTTCTCTCTTTCCTTGTAACTAGCTATTTCACAGATAGCACATTTTACTTTGATTTTGTGTCTACCCTATGAACATACGAGCCTTGAGTTAATAAATACAACATTGAATCTACTTATTGGTGCCCAGAAAGCCTCCCCAAGCATAACCTAGGTCCTCTCTTGTTGGATACTGTTCTTCCCAGACCATCTGGAGAACAGGAGAGCCCACCTTCGTTTACCCTATGAGAAGGATGCATTTCCGGGAAAAGTTTAGTTTCATGTTCAACTATTATTTTCTATTTTGAAACATGTTTGATAAGTAATATATCAATTCTTTCTATTAGTGGTAATTCAACCCAGAAGAAAAGTTCACATTTTAAATAATGTTGTCTGACTTAGTTCTACTTTTATAAACTGCTGTTTATTGTCTCTACAGATCAAGAAGGTTGTTATGTTAGAATACAATTCTGTTAAGGGATATGTATTGATAGTATTAGTTGAAAAAATATGTGATTTAAATTCTTTAATAGTTAAAGAATAATTTGCTCACATACTTTTTAGAAATAAGATGGTGTTGAACATCAGACATGGAGCCTCTCACACATACCAGGCAAGCACTTTATTTACCACTGAGCTTTTTTCCCTGCCTGGCTACAACTTTTAGTTTGAATAAAATGTAGGCAGTTTCATTTTGTTCTTGTAAGACACAGATTTGAATGTTTCATGTTGAATGTGATGACAGCTGGGGCCTTGTTATATATGGCCTCTGTTGTGTTAAGACACATTCCTTCCATTCCGAAATTGTTGGAAGTTACCATGACAGGATGTTGAACACTGTTAAATTCTTAAATAATTTTGGAGGATTTCTTTGTTTATATTTTTATGCATATGTGTGTATGGTCTGCTTGTATGTCTGTGCACCATGTGCATGTAGTTTCCATGGAGGCGAGAAGAAGCATTGTATCCTTTTGGAACTGGAGTTATAGACAGTTGTCAGCCACCACGTGGGTGTTGGGACTTGAACACAGGTCCTCAGGAAGCAAGGTCAGTGCTCTTAACCACTGAGCCACCTCTCCAATCCACTGTTAAATTCTTTTCCTTTCTATAATAATGATATGTTTTTCCTTTCAATTTGTTAATGTTTTATATTTTTTGAACCTAGTCTGACTTCTGCATCAAACTTTCAAATGCTTGGATTCTAGGCATGAGCCACCATATAAATCTATTCATGTGCCTTCTTTCTTCTCTCTCTCTCTCTCTCTCTCTCTCTCTCTCTCTCTCTCTCTCTCTCCAGGATCTCTGTTTGTAGCCCTAGCTAACTTGAAACACACTATGTAGACAAAACTGGGATCACACTCACAGAGATCCTCCTGCTTCTGTCTCCTGAGTTTTGAGATTAAAGGCATGAATGACCATGACCATGACTCATACACTTTCAGAGTAGAGGAGAATGAGTTCAATTTTTATATGCTATTACACCTATTTTAGAGAAGTGTGTAAAATCTTTGTTTTAAAGTACCAATGTTTTCAATAAACCAAAACTTCATGGTCTTTCCTATTTACAACTGTGATTTTTAAAATCCTGTTTGGACTAGGAAATGTACAGATACTTAAATAGATGTCTAACAGATTAACAAAAACATGCTTAAAATAGTAAACAAAACGAACAAGAACTATTAAATTATCAAATCCTAACCCCGGAAGTGCTGGGGAAATGTGAGAAATATCTGGCAGTTTTTAGTTTGCTCCGATCAGATTCTTTCTGTCTTGTCTGCCTCCCCATCATCCCCTTTTCTTGTCCTTTCTGTTTGACACTTGGCTGAAAAGACCAAGCTTGTCGTTGTTCTGCAGGCTTTCCCACACTCGGCTTGCTGCTTGCATTCTTGTACCTTTGACATGCTGCCCTCTCTCATGGTTTTATAAACTGGGGCTGAGTTTTGATCAGACTCTGATGTGATGCTTTAGCAAAATAATGATATGGTATTGGAGATAATGATACGGTATTTTTCCATAGCTGTTTATAGTCATATTTATTAGCCATTGTAAAATAATGGTATTGTAAGTTCATATTTTCTTATTAGTTCATTAACAAAAATATTTCCATAAATAGAAATTTCTCTTTGTTGATCATTTTGCTATCCTATATATATATATATATATATATATATACATCTTGCTTCTTTCTCTTTGCAATGAATTACCATTCAGATATGGTGATAATCCACCTTAATCTCAGCATTTGGAATGCAGAGGCAGATGGATCTCTGTGAATATGAGGCTAGCCTGATCTTATATATCTTGAGTTCCATGCCAGCCATGGCTACATAGTAAGACCTTATCTCAAAAAAAAAAAAGAAAGAAAGAGAGAAAGAAAAAGAAAAAAGAAAAACACGTATCTTCCCAAGGTGATCAACATGTTTTGATTTACCCTTGAAGCAATGGGAGAGCCTCTTCAGGATGTTTGTCACTCATTGTGACAAGACACTGCTAATTTCTAGTGGCTCCTTTCTTTATTCTAGGACAAGATGTCCCAGACTCATACTTCTGCATCAGGCCTGGAATCAGTATGGAAGGTCCACATTAGCCCTGGGTTGGTCAGGACACAGAGTTGATGTGTGTGTGTGTTCCGATTGTGTCATATTAATTTTGAATATGAAACAATGATTGTACCAATAGTTTCCTTCAGACTTCATGTTCAGATGTGACTTGAGAGTAATCTGGCCTTTCTCCATGCTGAACTATATAGACAAAGTACTGATTACCCACTCAGCCCACATTGCAGAGTAGCTTTGTAATGGCAATGCGATTCTTATAGATGGCTTAAGACTTTCACTTCCTTCATCCCTCATATTACAGTTATTTGTTTTAATCAGACACATAAATGGAGCATACACTGCTCAGACTGGTTGTTTGTAACACAACTGTCAAATCACTTGGAACAATGTCCCTTATATGTTGCTAGCTGCATAAACAAGCTCATTAACATTTTAAAGATTGTCTTTTAATATTTTTCTTAACTGTTACAGTAGCTTCTCCTTATCCATAAACCATGGTTCCAGTTTCCCATGATCAACCATAATCCTCCAAACACAGTGTTAAATGGAACATTCTAGGAATGATTCCTAAGTGTTAAATCATGTGTCTTGCTGACCAGCATGGTAACATTTTACACCTGACTCATTTTATACCTCATGTTGTACATGGTCACTACCTTTGTAGAACATTTGTTATGGGTTTAATAGTCACTTGGTTACCAATCAGATGACTCAGTATCTCAGGTTTTGTGTTCAACTAATTCTTGTTTACATAAAATGGTCACAAAACACAGAAGTAATGAGACACTGTAGGCATCAGAGAAAACAGAAAAGATGTTAATCCTAACATGAATGGCAAGGCTATTGAAAACAGGAGAAATTCTAGTATGTTTAGAATTTAATTGGATCTAAAATTTCAGGCGTCCACTGGAAGCCTTGCAAACTATCCCTCTTGGGAGAATGGGATTCTTATGTGGTGAAATACATTTATATTCTTGAAGTCAGAGCCATGAAACAAGATAGCTTCAGAAAGTCTGTTCATTCCTGGCTCTCCTTTCCTGTACATTTTTCTTAGATTCCGTGACAGATTTCCACTAAGTAATACATTCATAGTGTGCGTTCAACTAAGCCATGAATTGTGCTAAAGTCAGTTATATAAGGAAGGGAGTTGGACTTCTTCATGACAGGGATAGGTGGATCTGTCTGTACTTATGATGTCTTTCTTGGACAAACATCAGTGTGCTTCTGTTTGTGGCACAAGAGCCACAGAACTTGAAGAAGTATTTGGCAAACACAAAAGTGGAAGAATAGGTGGAAATCACTTCTATCCTTGAGGAAAGTATCCATACAAATACAAGATTCTTATTGGAAAATTTAATTGTGCATTGAGAGGTTCGCCCGAGGTTTAGCTTTTTATTAACCTTTTAACTAGCACCATGAAAAATTTTGAGGGAACCCTTTTGCCCTAGAGAGAGAGAGACAAGCCTGCGTCCTCTGCCCTGCCTGGAGGAGTGCTCTTCAGAGCTCACCAGTTTACAGGCAACAAGTGTAAGCGCCAGCTCTAGGACTCATGCCGCAAACCTCTGTTCCTAGTTGACGTCTGTGGATTTCATCTAGTTACCAGGTAGAAAACTCAAAGTTAAAAAAAAATAAGAAAGAAAAAAATCCTTTCTATTGCAAGAAAAGAAATCAGATTGTTTCCATTAATTTTATGAGTGATTTTCTTTCCGTTTACTGAAGTCTAGACTGGGGTTGGTGTGGTACACAGTGGTATGGAGGTCTGACTGGGAGATCACAGTCCGTGTCACAGGCGTGTCTTGCATTAGTGTCCCTGTGGCCACACAGCACACTCAAAGCTGATCTCTGCCTGCACTTCAGCTGCCCCCTCATCCCTTCTCTCCTCCTTTCTGTCCCACTGGGCTCTCGGGG